GGGCTGAAGAAACATACACCATACTCTAGGTTGAACTTCTAAGGAATGATGTCTATAACCAAACTGCAAAACTGCATGGTCTATAGAGCTGTCTCCTGGAATCCATGTTTGCAGAATTGATGCCTTTTTCCTGCTACTTTTTTTCTTTTAACTTAAAAAAAAACCCATGAAATATAGCATGCATACATAAAAGGCCATAAAACATAAATGTACAAATGAACACCATCTAGTTAAGAAAGAGAACATAGCCTGCATCCCAGTAGGCCCTTCTGATCTCATATTCCTTGCTTCCCCCCAAGGGGCAACCAGGATCTTGACTTTTGTGATTATAGTTCTGTAGTGATTTACTTATTTTTCTTAATAGTTTTGCCTGTTGCCTGTAAACATGATAGTTTTTTTTTTCTCCTGAAGAAAATCATGCTGTATGTATTTTTTTATCTCATGCGTCTTGTGAGATTCTTACCCATGGTGTGTAGTGTGATCTGTTGTTATTTTGAAGGACATTTGAGTTGTTGCTCATTTTAAGTCCAGATGAACAGTGTGCTATGAACATTCATAGGTATTGTGTGCACATGTGCATTAATTTCTAGTGTATACCAAGTGAATAGTCAGAGTATGCCCATCTTCACCTTTACCATATAATGCATAAGATGTTTTCTAAAGTAGTTGTACCAGTTCATACTCCTACCAGTAGTTGATGATAGAACATGTTATTCCACATTCTTAACTTGCTATTGTCAAACTTTATGCAATCTGATAATTATGTGTGGTATCTCATTGTGGCTTTTAATTTGTATTTCCCTGATGATTAAAGAAGCCAAACATCTCTGCATGCTTTTTGACTGTCTGCATCTCCTCGTGTCAAAGCCTGTTTAGGCTCTTTATCTGTTTTTCTGTTGAGTAGTCTTTATTGATTTGATTTGTTGGAGCGTTTTATGTATTCTGGATACTATTCCTTTGACCTATATATGTTACAAATATATCCTCTTCCATTCTGTGAGTTGTCTTTTCACTCTAGTATCTTTTAATGAATAGAAACTCTTGGTGGTAGTACAACTTCACAATCATTTTATATGGCTAATCCATTTTTTTGTCTTTAGGAAATCCTTCTTTACCTTGAGATCATGAATGTACCGTTTTGTGCATTTTCTGAGCATTTTAGCTTTGCTTTTCACATTGGGTCTTTTTTTAAAAATTAATTTATTTTGGCTTTGCTGGGCCTTCGTTGCTGCACTGAGACTTTCTCTAGTTGCAGTGAGCAGGGGCTGCTCTAGTCTCGGTGTGCAGGCTTCTCCTTGTGGTGGGTTCTGAGCACGGGCTCTAGGGCCTGCAGCCTCAGGAGTTTCGGTGCATGGGGTTAGTTGCCCGACTCAGTTCCAGGAGCAGGAATTGAACTCGTGTCCCCTGCATTGGCAGGAAGATTCCTATCCACTGCACCACCAGAGAAGTCCCTCATGTTAGGTCTTTAATGTACCTGGAATCGATTTTTTGTGTTTGGCATCAGGAACTCAGAGTTACTATTTTTTAAATTTTGTCCCAGTTCCATTTATTGCATGTCTATCTTTTCTCCACTGTTCATATATCAAGTGTCTAAATATGCATGGATCTGTTTCTGTGCTGTTTTATTTGTTCACTGGTTTACTACTTTTCCAGAAATGTCTTACTAGAGATTTGTTAGCATTGTTCCCAGATATTTCACACCTTTTGCTGTTACTGTGTATGGGATCTTTTTTTTTAAGTTACATTTTGTAATTTTTTTCTATTTTCTATTTAAAAAATTTTTTTAATTTTTTCTATTTTACAGAAATGGAATTGATATTTTATATAAGTATTTATATTCATTGACTTTATTGAACTCTATCAATGCCAGCAATCTAGCCACAACTGTTTTCTTCGGGGCTTTTATTTTTTTTTTTTTTTGGCAACTCCACTTGGTGTCTCTCAGGCTGTTTGCTTTTTTCTTAAATACATAATGGTAATAACAAAAACTAATGTTTAAAAAATTTATTTATTTTATTTTTGACTCTGCTGGGTCTTTGTAGCGGTGCGGACTTTTTCTCTAGCTGTGGTGAGTGAGGGCTTCTCATTTCAGTGGCTTCTCCTGTGTCTGAACACAGGCTCTCGGGCTTCCGTGGCTATGGCTCCCTGTGTCTGAACACAGGCTCTCGGGCTTCCGTGGCTATGGCTCCCAGTCTCCAGAGCACAAGTTTTGTAGTTGGGGCTCACAGAGATTAGTTGCTCTGTGGCTTCTGGAATCTTCCTGGGCCAGGAATCGAACCCATGGTCCTGCGTTAGCAGACAGGTTCTTAACTACAGAGCCACCAGAGAAACCCGCAAACCAATGTTCATTGAATACTTACTATGTGTCTGTACTGTTGCAGATGGTTTTACATGTGTATGTGGTACATGCACATGAACTTCTGGCTTCATCAATATTGGTAGCTGTTCTGGTTTCCCTCAGCAGTTATTTCCTGTGCCGCAAGAAGCCCTCTGTTGTGAGTGACAGGTCACTCTGGAGGATGGATTCCAACCGTACGGTGGGATGGGACGGGGAGATGCACTGTAGAGTTCAAGAGATAGCTTTTCAGCATATATAATTTTGGAAAAGAAAAGAACTAGTTAGCCTAGATATATTAAGGAGGTTCATGGCTGTAAAAGTTGAGTGGCACCCCATCCACTTGGCGGGGGCGGAATTTATTTCTTCTCCCACATCCCCTTTGAGATCCTGTTGTTCCCATCAGCAGATGCACCACTTTCCTTAAAAGATAGCAGAATTGAAAGAGACACATGTACCCCAGTATTCATGGCAGCACTATTTATAATAGCTGGGACATGGAAGCAGCCTAGATGTCCATCCCCAGATGAGTGGATGAGGAAGTTGTGGTACATACACACAGTGGAATATTACTCAGCTATAAAAAGGAACACATTTGAGTCAATTTTAATGAGGTGGATGAACCTGGAGCCTGTTACACAGAGTGAAGTCAGTCAGAGATAGACAAATGCTGTATATTAATGCATACATACGGAGTTTAGGAAGATGGTACCGATGGTCCTACATGCCGGGCAGCAAAGGAGACATAGACGTAAAGAACAGACTTGTAGACTCAGTGGGAGAAGGCGAGGGTGGGATGGTTTGAGAGAATAGCTTTGAAACATGCACATTACCACATGTAAAATACATGACCAGTGCAAGTTTGATGCATGAAGCAGGGCACTCAAAGTCAGTGCTCTGGGACAAGCTAGGAGGACAGGGTTGGGGGGGGAGAGAGGTGGGAGGGGAGGTCAGGGTGGGGAGGACACATGTGTACCTGTGGTTGGTTCATGTTGATGTGCGGCAGAACCATCACAATATTGTAACTGTCCTCCAGTTAAAATAAGTTAATTAATTAAAAATAAGAGAATTATTATAGTTAGTACTGGGGCTTCCCAGGTGGTGCTAGTGGTAAAGAATCCACCTGCCAGTGCAGGAGACATAAGAGATGGAGGTTCGATACCTGGATTGGGAAGATTCCCCCGGAGGAGGGCATATCAGCTCACTCCAGCATTCTTGCCTGGAGAATCCCTGGACAGAGGAGTATGGTGGGCTACAGTCCATAGGGTCACAAAGAGTTGGACATTACCAAAGCGACTTAGCACGCACGCGCTGTAGTTAGTACTGACATCTTAGGAACTTAAATGTTTCACCTTTTACCATGTGGGGAGTTTAGGCACTAACCTAGCTCCCACAGTTTTAAATGAACCTACCAAGCTTCCACCATCCATTCCTTACTTCACCCTTCGCTGCTGCCTCTGAGTTTGAACTTTTCTGAAACTCTGTTAACAGGGAATACTGATGTACTGCCTTCTTTACTTACTGCTTTTTCCTCATGTTGAATTACAAATTTTGCATTCTGATATTTTCCCCCTCAGTACAGTTCCATTTGTTTAAAATTTCAGGAATTCCTCAGATTTTCTTATGACCCTTCTCTGTGTTTCATAATATTTGTAATCTGTCCTTTCAGTAGGATTTTGTGGGGAGAATATGTCAGTGTTCAGACTTTGTTTGCTAGCTTGAACTGTAATTTGTTTAATGTTACAGAATATTTCATTCTTGTAGCTCAGTTGATAAAAAAATCTGCCTGTAGTGCAGGAGACCTGGGTTCGATCCCTTGGTTGGGATGATCCCCTGGAGAAGGAAATGGCAACCCACTCCAGTATCCTTGCTTGGAAAATCCCGTGGACAGATGAGTCTGGTGGGCTGCAGTCCATGGGGTTGCAAAGAGCTGGGCACGACTGAACACTTCATTTCACAGAATATTTCAGAAGTTTTAAATGATAGTGAATATAATCAGTGTAGGTTTTGGAATTAGATATATGGGATCTGTGCTGCTTAAAATACTTGAGTTATTTTGAGCAAATTTCTTAACCAAAGTTTTGGTTTCTTTATCTGCAAAATGAAAATAATGGAACTGATCTTCGCTTATTGTTAGTGTTATGAGATAATACAGGTAAAGCTCTTAGCACAGGTAAAGCTCTTAGGAAGTGGTATCCAGTAGGTGCTTGGTAAATGTTATTTATTAGGTTAGGAATATTCAGCAGAGTTATTTTAAAAACAAATCAAGTAGCTTTTTCTGAAAATCTTTTTGATGAAAAATTAATATAAATAGATGATAAGCTGCTGCCAGTATGGTATCAAAACTTTTAACATATCCTTGCTACTAAATGTAATTAAGACTAAGACTTACGTGGAATTCCTAAACCTATGATGTAACATTTTTCTCCTAAGATTGCCTTGATGGTCACAATATAATTGCATTATCTATAAAATTAATTTATTAATATAAGAATGAAGGGATTAACACAAGTCCTTCTTTAATAGCTTTCAAAATATGTTTCTTAAATATTTTTGTGTGCTAATTCAGATTTTAACATGCTAATTCAACATAAGTTGCTGTTTTTATTCTGCCACAGTAGTTATGTGTACACCTGAAAGTAAAATTTTTTCTTTTCTATTACAGCAGAATGGCCAAAGACGATGACAGGTCTTCCCAGCACGTCAGGGACAACTGCCAGTGTGGTCATCATCCGAGGCTTGAAGATGTATGTTGCTCACGTGGGTGACTCAGGGGTGGTTCTTGGAATCCAGGATGACCCCAAGGATGATTTTATCCGAGCTGTGGAGGTGACGCAGGACCATAAGCCAGAACTCCCCAAGGAGAGAGAGCGAATCGAAGGACTTGGCGGGAGGTAATGACTGCTGCCCTGCCTCTCCTCTCTCGGTTCTGTGTAGTCCTTTCCGCTTTACTTACCACATTGACCTACTTCTCCCTTCTAATGAAGTCACAGAGTTTTAGCTTGCCTGGTCAAGTATCCGTGTATATTCATGTTTATTTTATTATTTTGAATCGACCGATTTATTTCTGATAAATGGCTCCAAAGGGAAATAATATCTTAATGGCACTCAAGTAACAAAACATACAAGGATTTATTTAAAGCCTTTTGTATAAACACTAATCAGCATGCCCTTCAGAATCTGGACAAAGCAGCCCTCAGAGTTCCAGAACAGAACAATTTGATCTATTTTGGGGAATAGAATTTTGTTGGAATTAGCTTTCAGTTTTCCCCTTTGATTTCTAAGTCATGCGCGCGACAAAGCTCTGTGTTGCATTCTCAGTGTGTTTTGAGACAGTTTGTAGATGATGAAGTGAATTTGACTTAAGCATAGTATTTTTATGATACAAACTAAAGTGCAAGGTTATTCTAAAAAGCAGAGGAAAGAATAACGTAAGAAAATTTAAAAATCATTCCAATACTAATTTTTTAAAAATCAAGGATCTGAGGCAAGTTAAACAGAATGCAGTGTTTTCTAAATAATTATTTAACTCAAGTCTTACCATAATATTGTTACTTTTTTCTCCTTTCTTGTTTTTATTAAATAAGAAAATATTTTTCAGAGAAATAATAAGCTGAAGGAAAGAATTAACATCCTTGAACTACCAAGAGTTCCAAAAGATCAGTAAGAGAAACAGTAAAACTCTGCCAGCTTCAGATGGCATAAAGGAGAAGTTTGAATGACAGGAAAAACTAAAAACAGTAGTAGAAACATTTGAAAAAATATTTAACATTGAAGTGAAGTTCTATTTTTTGTTATTGAGTTAGCAATATTTTAATTGTAATGGGTATCCTGTTGCTAGGATTATATATTGGTATGACCTATACAAAATACAACATACCACTAACTTTAAATGTATATAGGCTGAGTAATTTCAGGAATCTCCTCTAAAGAAGAAACATGAAATGTGAATCAAAATGTCTAAATAGAGTTATTGATTGCAGCAGTGTTTATTTATTTATTTTTTCCATTTATTTTTATTAGTTGGAGGCTAATTACTTTACAACATTGCAGTGGTTTTTGTCATACATTGAAATGAATTAGCCATGGATTTACATATATTCCCCGTCCCGGTCCCCCCTCCCACCTCCCTCTCCACCCGATCCCTCTGGGTCTTCCTAGTGCACCAGGCCCGAGCACTTGTCTCATGCATCCAACCTGGGCTGGTGATCTGTTCCACCCTAGATAATATACGTGTTTTGATGCTGTTCTCTTGAAACATCCCACCCTCGCCTTCTCCCACAGAGTCCACAAGTCTGTTCTATACATCTGAGTCTCTTTTTCTGTTTTGCATATAGGGTTATCGTTACCATCTTTCTAAATTCCATATATATGTGTTAGTATACTGTAATGGTCTTTATCTTTCTGGCTTACTTCGCTCTGTATAATGGGCTCCAGTTTCATCCATCTCATTAGAACTGATTCAAATGAATTCTTTTTAATGGCTGAGTAATATTCCATGGTGTATATGTACCACAGCTTCCTCATCCATTGGTCTGCTGATGGGCATCTAGGTTGCTTCCATGTCCTGGCTATTATAAACAGTGCTTGCAGCAGTGTTTATTGACTGTTAATTTAGCTGAAAAGAACTTGAAGGCCCAACATCTGGAAAATGGTTAATTACATTTAATTATATTTATAACAGTGGATATGATGTGAACAAAATTTTTAAAAATCATGGTATTATGAAAATTTTCAAACATTTAAGTAAAGGTCAGGGAATTCCCTGGTGGTTCAGTAGTTAAGACTCTGCACTTTCCCTGCTGAGGGCCTAGGTTCAGTCCCTCCTCAGGGAACTAAGATCCTGCAAATTGCATGGCACGGCCAGAATGAACAGACAAAAAAGTAAAGGTAGACTAGTATAATGACCTCCAATACATATGAGGAATTTTTAAAAAATATACCATTTTTTTGGCCTGTTTCACTGAGAGATAATTGACATGTCATTGTGTAGATTTAAAACGTACTACATGATGGTTCAGTTTAATTATACTGTGAAATATTACCACAATAGGTTCAACTAATCTCCATCTTCTCATATAGATACAAGTTTTTAAAACAGAGAAGAAATAAAGGGAAAAAAATTTCTCCTTGTGATGAGAACCCTTGGGATTTATTGTCATAAAAACTTTTCCTGTGTATCATATAGCAGTGTTCACTATAGTCATCATGTGGTACATTACATCCATAGTACTTATTTATCTTATAACTGGAAATTTGTACCTTTGACCAATTCCCCTTTCCCCTGCCAGGAATTTTTTTTTTTTTTTTTCTGCCAGGAATTTTTAATAATATAGGAGAATGCTTGTTGGTCACAATAAGCAGGATATAAAATTACATTGGTAACTGTTTGTCTCTATGGAGGTTGTACCAGTTTATGCTTCTATCAGCAATATATGTGAATGACCCTGACAACATAATTATAGAACTTTTTGATCATCACCAGTTATAGGTTTAAAAAAAAGTCATCGTGGTGATGTTTTCATTTGAATTTATCCTGAGAAAAGTTGAATTTTTTTTTACTTGTTGAAAAGCCATATAGACTTCCTTTTCTGTGTGTTTTTGTGTATCATCTTTGTTCATTTACGGGGGAGAGTAGTCAGCCTTCTTTTTGTATTAATGCATAGGAGCCACACATATTAGAGAAATTAGACTAATGTATGTGATGAATTTCAGGTGTTTTCACAGTTTGTCTTTTGATTCTGCTCCTGGAATTTTTTTTCCATGTGGAAGTTTATTTTAATGTAGTTAAATTTATCAGTGTTTGCCGTTATGACTTTTGGTTTTTGTGCCATATATATAATTCCTTCACTCTGAGCTTGTTAAAAAGTCTTCTCTATTTTCTTCTCATACAACAGTTATGAATACTTTGGTCTTAGGAAGACTTTACATTCTTAAAAATTGAGGCCCTCAAAGAGCTTTTTTGTTTATATGGGTCAGATGTATTGAGTTAACCATATTAGGCGTTAAAATAGAGATGTTTTCAAATATTTGTTAATTTATTGAAAAATAGCAATATTAAGCTCATTTTGTGTTAACATAAAGGACATTTTTTAAATGAAAATACAGCTGTTTCCCCAAAACAGACATTTGAGAGGATTGGCACTGTTTTACAGTTTTGTAAGTCTCTTTCTTGTCTGGCTTAGTAGGTGACAGCTAGATTCTTATATTTGCTTCTGCATTCAGACTCTTGTGATAAGGTATTTTGGTTGTAGTATCTAAAGTAAAATCAGATTTTATATAGATATATAGGTGGAAAGGGAGACTGTTTTCAAAGCTTTTTCATATTTTGGGGGTATTTTACTTTGATACTGTTCTAAAATTCATGAAGAGGGAATTTCTTAAAAGTTGATAATGTGGTGTCTGAAATCTTATCAGTAAGTTTTTTATATTCTTTCATTGAGAGCCACTGGTGTATCAGTTAAGAGCCATTGGTTAAATAATATCTTTATCCATGCGTGATCTTTTTAATAGACTTTTATTTTTTGAGCAGTTTTAGATTCATAGCAAAATTGAGCAGAAAGTACAGGAGTCCCTGCCTTCTCTGGGTGACCAGTCTCTTCCACTATCAGCTCTCTTCCCCAGACCGGTTCATTTGTTAGGATTGATGACCCTACATTGACACATCATCATCACTCAAAGTCAGTAGTTTACATTTGGGTTGCTTTTGGTGTTGTACATTCTAGGGTTTGACAGATGTGTCTACATGTGTCTACCTTTATAGTTTCATACAGAATAGTTTCACTGTCCTAGGAATCTTCTGTGCTCTGCCTGCTTTCTCCTTCCTCCCTTTCTATTTCGGGCAACTGCTGGTCTTTTTTATTATCTTCATAGTTTTACCTTTTCCAGAGTGCCACATAGTTGGAATTATAAAGTATATGGCCCCTGTGCATGATTTTGAAACCTGGCATTGGTCATTTGTAAAATATTGGTTAGCCAGGTTATGCAGATCATCCAAATATTGACATCTTTTATCATACACTATATCAAGTTCTGTAGCTGTTGAAAAACTCCACTGTATGCACATGGTCTTAGTATTATTAGGAAAATAATTTTGACCTTGTAGTTAGTTCCCCTGAAATTGTCTGGGGGACTCCTGGGGGGGGTCTCTGAACCATATTTCAAGAGCCACTTTTTTAGTATTTGTATGGTTTTTTCATTTACATTTTAATCTTATAGCTCTGGAATTTTAAAGTTGTGTAGTAGGGATTCAAGTTAATATTTTTTCTAACTGGCCATCAGTAGCCATTTGAACAATTCCACAGCCATTCCTTGCTGATTAGAAGGCTTATCAGGCATAAAACTCTTCTATAGTGGGAAGATGACCTGGAGTTTATCCTCTTTTAGCACTCTTTCCCTGGTTAAGATAAGTATGGAACGTCAACTCTGTTACAAGGCAACATTGCTTGTTGTAGAAGGATCCTCCAGTGGAACTGCAGGTGGATAGGAAAGATGTCTATGGACCACAGATTTCTCTTGGAAAGCAGGGACCTTGGCTGCCCTGTGTACATGTAGTTGGACTTACGTGGGGACCAGGAAGTCAGGGGCTCTTGAGACACAGATTCCTCTGGCGGACGAAGCTCACTTGTGGCTGGAAATTGGCTCCTGGATTTCTGTAAGGATCACTGCTGAAGGCACTACTGGGGCTGCAGTTCTGGCAGACTGTGTTTCCTGTCCTGTACCCTACAAAGTTAAGTGAACCTGGCTCCATGCTGTAGTTTATTAGGTCCTGTAAGTGTGAAGGTCAGTATGTATCTGGAACCACTACTGGTAGTTATGCAAAGTGAGCTTTGCAATCATATATATTGGGCTGGCCCCCCAAAAATAGTTCCTTCAGGTTTTCCCATATCATCATATTATGGCAGAACCTGAACAAACTTTTTGGCCCACCCAACATTTGGACCTTTTTCTGGGTGTTCTTTTTTGGGCGTTCTTACATACCAGTACCATACTTTTTTAAAATCAAGGCTTTATTATAGTTTTTAATATTGGTAGGCCTGATTCCTCTCATTAGTCTTGTAAAAAATCTTTTTCTTCACTATTCCTTTATTTTTCTCTATGAAATTTTAAATTATGTTATTTGTATTTATTTTTTTTTGAGTTTATGGTTTTTGTGCTGTTACTTAAAATACCATCTGGACAGCTGGACGAGCTCGTTGCCATTTGAGAGCAGGTGTCTTTTTGCACAAATTGAGCTGTTTTGTTATAAGTCATTTCCTCCTTTCCTCCTGTCCTCACCCTAGGCAACTGGCCAGTGCTCTGTTTTCCCAGCCTCCTGTTGCTTCTCAGTCAGCCCCTGCATATCAGGCTGATCCTTTGTGTATGCCTTTTAATCACACAGGACAATGGCAGGAAGTGCAAGAGAAACAGCATCTTTTACAACATTGCTTTGGGTTTTTGATACTGGATGTAAAACTTTGTTTTAGCCACTGCCCTTATTTTGTCATTTGTTCCTCTGTTGGTGTTTCTACACGGAGACCGTAATAACTTTGAATATTACGTGTCAAGAGAGCTCCTAGGAGTCTTATCTTGAAAGCAATGTGGGTAGCTCCTGTAATTACTTAATGGGGATTCCCTGGTGGCTCTGTGGTAGAGAACGTGCCTACCATGCAGGTGCCACAGGTTTGATCCCTGGGTCTGAAAGTTCCCCTGGAGGAGGCCATGGCAACCTACTCCAGTATTGTCTGGAGAATCCCATGGACAGAGGAGCCTGGTGGGCTACAGTCTGTAGGGTTTGCAGAGTTGGACATGACTGAAGCCATTGAGCATGGCATGCATGCAAGCCTTACTTCTTAGGGAGCAGGTTTAGGAAAGAGCTATAGGGCATAAGCTGTTAAGAAGGCAGAATGTTGGCATCTCTTTTCCCATAACTCTTGTGTTTCATAGATTCTTGTGAATGGTGTTTTGGTTGGATATTAGCAAAGATTTGGACAGCAACAAACACTTTTTTGTCTCTCTCTTTTTTTGGTCACACTACACAGCCGGGGGGGATCTTAGATCCCTGACCAGGGATAGAACCCAGGCTCTCTGCGTTGGAAGAGCAGTCGTAACCACTGGACTGCCAGGGGAAGTCTATGAATGGTAGATTTAGTCTTTACTGTTTGCTTTTTGAGGGTCAGCTTTGAAGAAAGCATAAAATAAAAAGTTTCCTCCCCCCAACTCAGCCCTCCGGCTCCCCAGGGGTTTCCATCTGGGTGAGGTTCCCCCAGCTCCGTAGACCAGCCCCACCCACCCCCAGCCCCAGCCCGACCTGCTCGGGCAGCGGACGGAGCCCCCAGGAGCAGGGCCTCTGTCTCTACAACCGACCCACTCGCTTTGCGGGGGCGGCTGCGCGTCCCTAGTCCCCTGGGCTGCTCAGGAAGCCCCTTCCCCTCGGGAGGGCGAGGTCCCCGAGCAGACGCAGCCGGCCCAGGCCTCTGGCTTCAGCCCTCCAGCCTCAGCTCCCTAGTAAGTGCCTGCTGTGTGCACGTTCGCACCCAGGCCCCAAGGATGCAGACCTGGGGTGGGAGACAGACCCTCCTGGTGAAAGGCTCGCCACTGCCCAGTGCTCAGGTGCGCCAGCGCGCTGCGGCGGGGCCCCCGTAGGCTTCTGCCTCCCGAGGCCTGCAGGGCACCCCTCCGCTGAGTGCTGCCTGCCTGCCTCTCCCAGGGAGCCTCAGCCCCCAGTGGGCCGGGACGCCGCTGGGGTGGTCCAGCCGGTGCCTCCCGCTCCTGCCCCGTTGCCCCGGGGCCCTGGCGGCTCCGCCCCCGCCTCCGCCCTCGGACTGAGTGTTCCCCTCTCCTGGGGAGGTGGCGCGTGGAGGCGCCCGGCTTCGCTGCCTCCGAGGGCAGAACACTCACCTGACCACGGTGGGCCTGCCCCGCTCGGCCCAATAAAAGCAACTCCAGCCTCAAAAAAAAAAGGCTCTTACTGTGACCTGGAACAATGTTGCTTTCAGCATTACAAATTAATTCTCAAAAGGGAGAGTAAATGAGCAACTCTCAGGATGTTTCTCTTCTGTGTTAACATTAAGCAAATTTTCTACCATGTTCTTCACTTGTTTCATTCCCCTCCTGTTCTGTCTGGTTATTGTAGCCCCATGTGGCTGTTTGAACTTAAATATAAATTTATTAAAGTTAAATTAAAAATTCAGTTCCTCATTTGCCCTGGCCACGTTGACAGCGCGGTAGCTGGGCATGGCTGGTGGCTGCTACATGTTCGAGTGTGAGGAGTGAGCGTTTCCATCACGGCAGGAAGTCTGGTGGACAGCGCTGCTTAAGCCCCCTGGCCTGCCCTCGTCTCACGAGGCTTGTTTTCTGCTTTACGAAGATGGTTGAGGCTCTTCTCCTTCTGCTATATTCATGTTTCTCTGGGCTCAGAGGAAGATTTTTTTCTCATTTATAAATATTTATGCCTTTGTTTCTGTTAGAACTTTTATTCCGTTTGTTATCTCTTCTCTCTAGTACCTTCATTCCTTTGAAGTTAGAGCAGTAGAAAAGCCGTGATGGAGGTGAACCGGCTGGCTGCTGTTGACTTCCACAGAGTTTCTCAGCAACATTCCTCTGGAGATGGTCACCATTATCTGTCCGTCGTCTGCTTTGCATGTCTGGAAGCCACTAATTTCTGAGTTCATCAAGTTTAGGGGGACAGAGTCATGCTACTCACAGTCAACATAGTAAACTATTAAGAGACTCACGTATACATCAGGATGTCACAGTACTCAATAATAAGGAGAAGAGTTACTGACAAGAAGCCCACAGATGATTGTCAGCCAACCTGCCATAGATGAAATGAAATTTCAGACTATAATCAGAGGCTTTCAGTGTACATGTGGGACCTGGGTATAAAGACTTAATTTGATAACCTTAATGTCATCTATCGTTGAGAGTCAGGAATCTGGTCTTATGCATGTGTCTATCCATCAGGTAAACCTGACATCAGGCAGGCTAATATTTGTTTCTTGGAAATGCTCTTTGCCACTCTTCCCCTCAACTATTTTAAACCTTCCAAGGAAACATTTTTCTTTTATTTATTTATTTTTTTCATTCCAGGCAGATTATGGTTAAATTGATTTAAGGGCCAGTTTCCCATTTCAGTCATTCGGGCATAGGTTGAGAGACCATCTCTACTCTGTTTTTAATATTACTTTTTTGCTGAAATTTTTGGTCATATTTCAATATGTTAGGCACCCTGGAGTGTACTAACTACTCTGTGTATTAATTACAGATATCTCTTGCTCCTCCACCAAATTTCTAGGAGGGTTTTCTTGTTCTCTAACTTCCAGATCTCTCTCGCTGCAGCTGATCTGTTTCCAAGGTCTAGTCTTACATTTCTAAATACAGAAGTATCTAAATACATAGGTATTTCTAGTGAGGCATTTCTTATTAATTCCTCAGATTAAAAATACTAAAGCTAAAGTTCTGTTTTCAGTACCCTTAAACCCTTCAGACACTATACAACCTTTTCAATTTCTTTTATGTATTCCCTCTTCTTTTATAACCACTTCTTCCTCCCCTCAGTTTTCTCAGTTATCAAATTATCTTGCTTTTATATGTATGCTATTTACTCATTTCTGTTCCTCTGTGTGCCCTAAATAATCTCCAAATTCTCATCTTCATCTACCCTATTTTGTCTTTGCCTTATGAACAGGAACTTTGGTTTATGCATCTTCGTGTCCAAAGCAGATAAGTCATCATTTTGTGGTAATATAATCTGATTGTAACAGTTATTTAACCTGTGAAGCCACTTGAGTTGGTATATTGTGATCCCTTAGTGTGTTTCTGTGAACTCTTGTCTTTCAGCGTGATGAATAAGTCTGGGGTGAACCGTGTGGTTTGGAAACGACCTCGGCTCACTCACAACGGACCTGTGAGGAGGAGCACAGTCATTGACCAGATTCCCTTTCTGGCAGTAGCCAGAGCACTTGGTAAGTACGACTTCTGTTTGGTGAAACCATCTTGGATGTTCTGCAGCATGTGGTGGTAAAATAAAAGACAAGACTGAGAGTTACACCCTCATTTGACACATACTGAGTGTGTAAATATGATACTGTAGTAAATGGTTGAAGACCCAATTGAGGGGAAGGTTAAAGTATGGATTTCAGTGCCATTTGCTCTTTGATCCTGAGTTGTGTTCAGTGTTCTGATAGTTTCCATTTATTCCTAAGGAAGTAAATATATGCCCAGGCTTGATGTTAGCCTTAAAACTATTTCTAAATATCCTTTCCTACTTCAGCCCTTCACATTTCTCTTAAGAGCCTTCAAAGCTCTTTTTTCTTTTTCATTAGCTAGCAAAGTAAATTGTGACAAAATTAACATACTTATTTTCTGTTCCATCTTGTTTTGGAGGGAAGACTAAAGGGTTGTAACTATAGAAATATCTTACTTTGGATGTACTAGTTAAATTTTCTTCTAAAGAAAATTTCTCTTAGAAAGCATCACTTTTTTCCTTCTCTCCTTCTTCCTCTAAAGACACTTGAGCACTGACTTGATTCCGGGTACTGTATTAGGGTTTGGAGTGATGATACAGATAGATTCTGCCCTCAGGGAGCAAGAATAAATAGTTGGGGAGATTGGTGATAAAGAAGTAAACCTGTCCTGAACCTAGTATAATATTGCAGGTCAATTATATTTCAGTTTTTTTAAAAGGTAAGCTTGTACATTGTAAAAGGTACAATTATACATTGTAAAAGGTAAGTGTGTACATTGTCAAAGGTAAGCTTGTACATTGTAAAAGGTAGCTTGTACATTGTAAAAGGTAAGCTTGTACACTGTACTGTAAACAGTGAGAGACTTTCTTTTTTTGGGCTCCAAAATCACTGCAGATGGTGATTGCAGCCATGAAACTAAAACATGCTTGCTCCATGGAAGAAAAGCTATGACCAATCTAGACAGCATATTAAAAAGCAGAGACATTACTTTGCCAACAAAGGTCTCTCTAGTCAAAGCTATGGTTTTTCCAGTAGTCATGTATGGGTGTGAGAGTTGGACTATAAAGAAAGCTGAACGCCGAAGAATTGATGCTTTTGAACTGTGGTGTTGGAGAAGACTCTTGAGAGTCCCTTGGACTGTGAGATCCACCCAGTCCATCCTAAAGGAAATCAATCCTGAATATTCATTGGAAGGACTGATGCTGAAGCTGAAACTCCAATACTTTGGCCACCTAATGTGAAGAACTGGCTCATTGGAAAAGACACTGATGCTGGGAAAGACTGAAGGCGGGAGGAGAAGGGAACGACAGAGGATGAGATGGTTGGATGGCATCACCAATTTAATAGACATGAGTTTGAGTAAGCTCCGGGAGTTGGTGATGGACAGGGAAGCCTAGCATGCTGCAGTCCATGGGGTCACAAGGAATTGGACATGACTGAGCAACTGAACTGAACTGAACTGATTTGTACATGAAATCATTACAGATTAGGAAATATGAAAGAAAAAAAGAAATCACAGGGGTCCTGTGATAAAGAATAATTTAGAAGGGAAAAATCTATCTTAGGTAGTGTGATGGAAATGTTCCTTTTAGGAAGTGTTATTTTAGCTGAGATGTGATGGCTGAGAATCAGGTATTGTTGTGAAGAGCCTGTTGAAGAATATTCTAGGCATGGATCCTGAATTGGGAAAGAGCTTGGCATGTTCTAGGAATTATCAAAAGTTGGGAGTTAATTGAGGCAAATGTAAACATCAGATATTTTTGTTCTAGACTAAGGTTACTGGGCAACATTGAAGGATATTAAGCTAAAGAGTAATATTATCTTATTTGCATTTTTTAAAAGATTGTGCTACTGTTACTTGTTCGTCTTTGGTATTTGATCAAATACATGTAGTCCCAACCTTCATGGACCCTATAATCTAATGGAGAGAATTGATAATAAGCAAACATGAGAAAATTCTTTTAAAAAGCATCAAAAAGGAATTAGGCAATATGATATGCCGGCAGTTGGTGGGAGGGATAGGTGGTGGCCAGGAGAAGGGTACTTTGGAGAGGATGATTAAGGAAGATTCTTTTAAAAAGTGGTATTTGAATTAGACCTGAAGGAGGAAAAGGGGCCAAGTCAAAGAAAAGGCATAACCCTTGCAGAGGCCATTAGGCAGTTGGTGGACATTTGCTCTGGGAGGAATGGTGGGGGTTGTTTAGCACATATTCTTTTTTCCTACTAAATAATGTCCTGACTCCCTTTTGGGAAACTGTATCTCCCCTACTCTGTGCAGTCTGTTTAGACATTCCTTTTCAGGGTCCTTTAGTAAAATATAAATGGTCAGGCATATGACCCCAGCTGGATCAGTTAGATTCCCTGTTGCATGATTTTGAATTGTGAATCCAGTAAGGATCAAAATTAAAAACCAAGAAACCTGGTTGGAATGAATACATCCAGGTGATAATTGACCTCCTTTGGCAGTGCTCATTGAGGTGATTGGGTTTTCCTGCCTAATTGTTTGGAAGTACCGTGACCTAAGTTAACCTGAGCTGGAAATTGTCCTTTGTATGCAAAGAACCCTAATGCAGGAAGGAAGGGATTCCCCATCTTTAGTGAGAGAGAGAAGGCAGAGATTTAAGATGAAGGTGGAGATGAGGACGCTTGCCTGATTAGGAAGGGTGGTACATAGTAAGGTAAGAAGTGTGATGAAGACATTATGGGTGGTAGGCAAGGACCAAATCCTGCCAGGCTTTTTAGAGCATGATAAGGAATTTTATTTTAAATGATTTTGGGGAGGGATTGAAGAGTAGGAGAGGAAATAAACCCCAGTGGTTAAGAGGTAGACTGTCGAGCCACAGTTCCTGGGTTCCAATCCCAGTGTTGTCATTTATGTACAGACTTGGGCAAATTACTTAATGTATTGTGACAGTTTTTTCTTCTGTAAAGTGGGGCCTGATCATACTGTTGTGGGTATTGGGTAACTTAACACATCAAAGTGCTTAAAATAGTGCCTGGCACATAGTAAGTGCTCTGTAAATGTTGTTGTTATTATTGTTGTTTACTGAAGTAGGGCAGTGACATGAATCCAGCTTGTTTTTAAAGGATCATAATGGCTAAAATTATAGGGTAATAACATTGGAGGCCAGTGTGCCATTTAGAAGGCCTGTAGCAGTTTCTAAGCACTTCACCTATTTTATAGATTTTTGTCTTAGTTACCCAGGCCATTCACTCATAGTATATATGTGATATAATTGACCCTCCAGTTGTTAGAAAGGAAAAAAGAGGGGGGAAAGTGATAGCTTCTATTTGCTTTTCAGGTAAATTTCAAGTTAACTATTGCCATTTGTAGCATTAGTGAGCTCCCGGGGCATGGGAGGCAAGGAATTAATATTACTGCAGAATAGAGGGGAGTTTCGTGGGGAACTCAGCATGGACTGAGGGCAAGGTTTAACTCCAGGGTCAAAAGTAAGGTGAACTTCAGTCTAGAAAAGCAGATGCCAGTTTATCTGGTGTAAGTGAAGTGTGTGTGTGCCTTGCTTTTCACGTAAGCCTTGAAACCCTGAAGTGATTATAGAGAGGAGAAGGAGCAGGTGAAGGAGCAGCAAAAAGAGCAGAAAAACCAACTGGTGTTCCTGTTTCTAACATTCCTGCTCTGTTCAGACACAGTGCTGGGGTAATTCAGATAAGTAATTCAGCACACATGAATATCTTCAGTAATCTTTACTTTATGTTTTTAAGTACAAATTGTTGCATTGTTAGACAGTACTATGAGTTAAAATCTGTCTCCATGAAGCTTTCAGACAGGGCACCGTATTTACCTTTTCTTTTTGCATGATGGCAGTCATTTACCTATTTAGAATTGCTAGCATGTTTCTCTAGGCTAATTTCAGAGCTTTCATTAGTCTTGTCCTATCCCTCTGGATGTTTCCCTCAATAAATGTGATTCCAGAATTGAGGACACTGCAAGATGTGGTCTGATCAGTTTGAAGTATAGTGGAAATATGTAGTTCCTGCGCCCTGAGCATTGTACTTGTAATAATGGAATTTTAGAATCATGACTGTCATTAGCTTTTAGTAATCTTTTCACGTTAGTTGGCTTATTAAGCTCAGATCTCTAGATATTTCTCTTTTGCACTGCTACTAAGTCAAGTTTCTCTATTACATACTCTGTTGGTTTTTATTGGGATGGTGTAAGGGTGGGGAAATGGCAGAAAGTGAAGAGGAACTAAAGAGCCTCTTGAGGGTGAAGGAGGAGAGTGAAAAAGCTGGCTTAAAAGTAAATATTAAAAAAACTTAAGATCATGGCATCTGGCCCCATTACTTCATGGCAAATAGAGGGTGAAAAGGTAGAAGTGGTGACAGATTTCCTTTACTTGGGGTCTAAGATCACTGCGGATGGTGACTGCAGCTGTGAAATCAGAGGACAATTGCTTCTTGGCAGGAAAGCTATGACAAACCTAGACAGTGTGTTGAAAAGCAGAGACATTACTTTGCCGAGAAAGGTTCGAATGGTCTTCCCAGCAGTCACGTACGGTTGTGAGAGCTGGACCATGAAGAAGGCAGAATGCCAAAGAGTTGATGCTTTCAAACTGTGGTGCTTGAGGGCTCCTGAAGGTCCCTTGGACAGCAGGGAGATCAAATCAGTCAACCTTCAGGGAAATTAACCCTGAACATTCGTTGGAGGGACTGATGCTAAAGCTGAAGCTCCAGTATTTTGGTCATCTGATGTGAATAGCCGACTCATTGGAAAAGTCCCTGATGCTGGGAAAGATTGAGGGCAGAAGGAAAAGGGGGTGTCAGAGGATGAGATTGCTGGATGGCTTCACCTATGCAATGGACATGAAATTGGGCAAACTTGGGGAGATGGTGAGGGACAGAGAGGCCTGGCTTTCTGCAGTCGGTAGGGTCACAAAGAGTCAGATACGACTAGCAACTGAACAGCAACAAAGTTGGGGAGGTGGAGGCTGAATAATACCATTAGATGGGGTTTTTTGCAGGATGTATTAATCAGT